ATATATATATATATATATATATATATATATATATATATATATATATACTTTTTTTTTTTCTTAACAAATTACCCTGTTAGAACACAGCATTTGGGGCAATCTAGATCTGTGTTCTTGGGCCATGGTCCCTCATATCTGGCTCCAGAACAAACTGTGTCTTCTTCCCTTTGAAGGCAAGAGCTGTGCTGACAGATGGCATTTACTGAGCACGAGGGGGTTTTTTTGTTTGTTTGTTGTTTTTTTTTATCTGTCCCTGCTTAATCCTCATGCCAACTCTCAGAGGGAGGTGTTCTTAGAATTTTTATTTTATATTTAAGGTGAGTTCTCAGGGTCACACAGAGAGCAAGCAGGAACTGGGGACAGGCTCGTCTGAATGCCCCACGGTGTTTGGGAAGTGATGATGCCCTCCGTCCCGTCCTGCCAGAGCAGACGCAGACTCACTGTGCTTTCCGAGCAGGGTGCACTGGCATGGGTTCTAGAAAGCCATGCCCTAAAATCAAGGAGAGGAAAGGGTTTAAGCAGATAAAGTTACTGTATCCTGAATCACAGTCCACTGAGGGAAGCCAAGGCAGGGACTCAAACAGGGCAGGAACCTGGAGGCAGGAGCTGATGGAGGCCATGGAGGAGGGCTGCTTACTGGCTTGCTTCTCACGGCTTGTTCAGCCTGCTTTCTTGCAGAATCCAGGACCACCAGCCCAGGGATAGCTCCACCCACAATGGGCTGAGCCCTCTTCCATTGATCACTAATTAAAAAAATGGCCTAGATTTTGACCTGGCCCACCCCAACATTTTACCCCATCTATGAACTGATGGAGTATAGGAAGGAGTCCTGCAGATCCAAAGCTGCAGGCTCTCCATGACAGCGGGCAATAGCAGGATATGGGAGAGGAGTCCTAGTGAGGATCCAGCATTGATAGAGCAGCAGAAGCCAGAAGCCTCAAACCACACCAATGACTCATTGCAAGTATGAACACTTGCCAGTAAAGAAGTGTAGACAAAAGGGTGAACTGTGGGTGGAGCTGAGTTAGGCACCTGATGAGAGTCCTGGGGGCCCAGGACCCACATCTCTAAACACAATGACTGTGTTTAGAAAGCAATGACTTGTAAGTTTCATTACATCCTCTAGACACATGCCATCAGACAGGTGCCATCAGACATGCCATCTGCAATATAAAGTCCTCTCTTTGTGTGGATTTCCCTTGAATGTTTCCTCAGGAAAGGACCTGGCACTTGAATACTGAATGGACTAAGAGGATTTGGGAAGAAAAAAAAATAAACAAGCAAACACCCAAGACTCTCTAAGGATGAAGAAAATACCTGAGGTGTATTTGCCCGTACTCAGAAACTCAGTACCGCATTGCAGAAACACATCTCCCAGCCAAGTACAACAGACAGGATTGATGGTGAGCGGCTCATCATGTGTTTATGAGGAGAACACTCACCATGTCCTCACGCTGCAGGAAGAAGAAACCAACCCCACATACAGGGAGGGTAGAGATAGCCTTGGCTAAGGCTGACTCCCTACCAAGAACTCAACACAGCAGCACATCATTCCGTTTTGTCCCACACCCTCCCTGTGGAATGTGTTGATGCCATTGTCCTCATGGGATGGGAGAGAAGGCTGAGGGGTTGAGAAAGTCAAAGCACCTTAACCCAAGATCACACAACCGATGTACCTAAACTAGAGATCAAGTGTGAAGCCCGCCGGATAACCCCTAGAGCTCATGTAATTTTATTACTGCTCTAGAGTCTAGCTCCTGGAGCAGAGACATTTTTCCTGACGCAGGAAGAGTCTGGTGTGGGGCTCTCTTCTGTGACATGGGGACAGCAGCAACGCCTGCACCCAGAGCTGCAGGGAAGGCTGAAAGAGCTAGGGGGCCTAAGTACCCAGTGTTGGGCGTGGCGGGCTGAGTGCTCAGTCAGTGAAGCAGCTCCACAGCAGTCCGCCCTGTCACGGGAAAGGATGGAGAATATAACGGGCCCTCCGTTATTTTAGTCTCAGGGGTTTTATTTTTCAGGGAGACCCACGGTTCAGCAGACGGTGGTCCAGTACCTTCTCTTCGGAGGAGACGGTCAGCTTGTCACTGGATATCAAGCTGCACACCTGGTCCAGACTCAGGCTCAGAAACTCTTCTCCCAGCATCACCTCCGGGAAGTGCTGCTCTGCTCCAAGACAAGAAGTTAAGACAACAACGTTAGGCCACACTCTCTCGCCTTCCACAGAGCTAGGCCACAGCAACCTGCAGGAGGAGAGGCTGAGGAGAAAGGCAGAGGGTCCCGAGAGGAGCTGGGAAACAAGGGAGAGAGAAAGAGAGAGACAGAGACAGCCAGCTGTGGGGAACCAGACTCTCAGGCCTGAAGTGAAGGCATGTATCCCCTGGGTTATCTTGTCCTGAACAGCGGCACAGACAGTGGTGGGGCAGAGATCTGAGTTTACTTCTCGTCCACACTCTGCACAGCTGACACAGACCTTGCCGTGAAGCCTCACAGGGACCTGCTTACGTAACTGGGCTGTTTGCTGCCGGGCACAAGCGCAGTCCAACCACACAGAGGGGTTTAGAACAGCTGCAATGGCAGGTCTCTGGGGTCCTTGCTGGACTTCAGCATTAGGAAGTCAGAAGGTGGCATGGCTTTCCCTGGCCTCAAACGAAGCCTATTCTAGCAAGTCTCCATTTGACAGAAATGTCCAGCTGAGAGTTCATGAACACTGGGAGCTGGTCACAGCAACCACACTGGGGAGCTGTTAAGAGGAAGAAAACCCCGGGACAGCTAAAGCAAGGCAAAAGCCATAGGACAAGCACAACAGAAGGAGACTGCAAGAGACAGTCCTGGCCAATGCGGGCCATCACCCAGAGCTCTGTGTTCCTGACATGCCACCACTTCAGAAAGAAGGGCCCACACACGTGCAGGCCTGGCTTTGCCATCTGGGAGTCGTATCCTCGAGCCAACACCATCACTTCTGTGGGTTTCACGGCATGGTTTGCCAGCTTTTCCCAGGTAAATTCAGATGGCATTTCCCCGTTTAGGCAGCTCTGGGGCTCAAACAACATTCCCTCTGTCCCTAGGCCTCACTCCATGTCAGCTCTCACGGACCCCACCTCCTCTCAAATAACTCTAATGGGATGCACTCCTCAGCTCCCACTTGCATTGCCCTGCCCAGCCTGGCTGATCTCTCAAATGAGGTCTAGAGTCCTCCAGTTGCAGGAGGCTACTGAAATACCAGGTAAAACTACACAACACAAAAGAAAATTAGAACATATTAAATTGCTCCCACAATCATCACCTTATTGAAATCATTACTTTTGTAAGTTAAGCACGTATGTATATGTATGTGTGTGTGCCTGAATATATGTGTGTGTACCACATGCATGCAGGAGCCCATAAACAAGTCAGGAGAGGGCCTCTGATCCCTGGAACTGGATTTACAGGCAGCTGCGAGCTGCCATGTGGGTGCTGACAACCCAGGCCAGGTCCTCCGAAGGAGCTGTGCGCACTCCTAACCTAACACTCTTCAGAGCGAACTCTAGCTCTTGAGCTCATCACGGCAACCTTCTCAAGTCGCCCCTTACAAAATTTATTTTGAATTTTAGACCGAAAATTTTCTGACCTAGTAAGTTCCTGTATGAGTTTCCACCTTCATCTAGATTACCCAAGTGCTAATATTTTATTATTAGACACAGAGTTATTAAACATTCTCCCCCCTCTTCGGATAAAAGGTAATCCTAGCCAGCCTGACAATGTCACTTTGGCAGTGATAGTGATGACCTACCCTGGAACTCAGCAAAGTCACACAGGACAGACCTGAAGTCGGGCTCTTCAAGGAGGGGAACAGCCACCCTGAAGAATGAGGAGCCAGCCTTTGCCTCTCTGAGCCTTTGGCTGTTAGCTTCCAGGAGAGTCTACAAGCCAGCACATCTGGCCTCCGGCTGTCCCACATTTAGCTTTGCTTGGCCAAAACATGGCAAATGGAAAACAGAGAAGCATAGAGAGAATGGGAGGTAAAGAAGCAAGCGTCTGGGGCTAGAGAGATGGCTCGGAGGTTGAGAGCGCTGACTGTACTTCCAGAGGTCCTGAATTCAACTCCCAGCAACCACAGGGTGGCTCCCAACTGTCTGTAAGCGGTCTGGTGCCCTCTTCTGGTGTGCAGATGAACATGCAGGCAGTACACTGCACACATAATAAATACATTTGAAGGAGGAGGAGGAGAAGAAGAAGCAAACATCTGTGCTATGAGAAGACTAAACTCCTTATGGCAAATGAAGCAAAAGCACCTGGGCTTGGTGGAGTGCTGCATGGACTGGGAAACAAACCAGAAATCCCAGAGACAAAGAAGGCAGAAAACAGTCTCCTGCCTCTTGCCCTGTGGGGCGGTGTGGGATTTCAGCCTAGGTCCGTTCTTGCTGCAGTGGGCTGCTTCGGAACCCTGAAGGAACCGCCCGCTGAAACCCCCCTAAGAAGGCCACCCCCAGTGTGGCGCCTAGAGGGTGAGGGGCACCAGCGGCCTCGCAGCCAAGGCTGGTGTCCAGACACCCAGGAGAAACTCGGAGGATGGGAAAGGAGTCTAGGTTGATCAGGAAGGAGAACAGCTTCTGACACGCCTGAGCCCGACAGGGCTGGGACTCCAACTCTGAAAAAGACAAATATACGTGCAAGACCATTCTAATAGCCTACGAGCAGAGTCCTGCGGGGGGAGGGGACAGGTAAGCACAGATCTCTTCTTAAAACTGAAGATGCTTACGTCCAAGATGAAACTGGGCTCTACCTGGGCAAGAGATGGATTTGTGCATACGCTGCAGAGAACAATGACACTGACTGCCAGAGGCAAGCAAAAAAAAAACCTAGAGGAATCGAGGGGACATGATACAGGCTCCCGGCAACAGCACCACACTTTGTGCCGAAATCGGAAGCAACACTCTTCTGAGGGCCACGGAGCCTACGTGATGTGGCCCTTGACGGCATAAATAGTAAAGGGAAAGAAATAAAAGTGAGTTTGAAAAGGGAGTCTGGAAGGGATGGGAAGGGAAGAAGAAAGGGAGAGAAATAAAGGAAAGGAGGAGCAAAAGGGAGGAGGAGCACACTGTCTCTCTATTCAGTGTGAGGAGACATTTAACCCCAGGCCGTCCCAGACCACCATTTCCGTTGGAAACACTTCAGAAACAACAGGATGAAGGGGTGAGCAGCGTGGGCTCAGCAGGGAAGAGTGCTGCTCTGGCAGAGGACCGGGGTTCCGCTCCCAGCATCCACACAGCTGTTCACGCAATTTGTAACTCCCCCTCTTCCGGCCTCTGTGGGCACTGCACGCATTGTGTGGCACAGGCATACATATTTACACACACACAAAATTAATTAAAGAAAAAAAAAAAAACAGGGTAGAAAAACCAAGAACAAGACCTGGCACCGAACTCAGCTTCCCAGGAAGAAGGCTAGCCCCGGACGACCCATGCTGACCCTCCTCCTAGATGCTCCCTAGACAGCACCCACTCCGCTTCCAGGGGGTAGTTTGCAAGAATCATCTTCTGCAGTTGCCTGATTTTTGTTTGTCTTACTTTGACTTCAGTGTGTTTTATGTTTTTATTTTTTTCCTTTTGGTTTTTGTATATTTACTTCATTGTGTGTATTTTACTGCTGGTTGTATTCTGATGCTGTTGTTTTGCTACAGGTCCCTGCTTTGTATTCAGGTTGGCCTCAAACTCTCAATCCTCCAGCCTCAGTCCCAAAGGCAGGCACACACCACTACACCAGCCCACATAATACGGCAGCACAACGTGGCAATGAGAAGGCTTGGGTTCTCCTCACAGCCACTTGATCCAGGCTCTGGGCTCCTTGTTAGTAAAATGTAATCAAGGTCTCAGTTAAGGCTCCAAAATGATAATGTCTATTTACCAGTAGGCCACAAAGTCAGGGAGAAACATGTTTTTAATCACTTGGTCTAGGCGGAAAGGAAAAGTCTTGGTGATTCTCATCTGGGGTCCCATCTGTTCTTTAAGATAAAAACAGTCCTAGGGCTGAAGCCATGGCTCGGTGGTTAAGAACACCGGCTGCTCTTCCAGAGGGCCTTGGTTCAGTGCCTGGCTCCCACAGACAGCTCACACCTGCCCATAACTCTAGTCCCCGGGTTCTGATGCCCTCTTCTGGCCCACATGGGTACTGCATGCACACGGTGCACAACATACATGCAGGGAAAACACCCACACACATTTAAAAAGATAAATTTTCAACGCTGTCCTGAGAAGGCCATTGGGGGTAAAGTTAAATATAGGTAACCAAAAACCCTAAATTTCCCTCTCAGATATGATAGAGACAGATGGAGAGAAGCATACATACAGAAACTGAGAGACTACGGCTATGAATGCAAAAACTTTCTTTTTAGAGGGAAAACAGTAACCGTAAAATGGTGGTGCTCTAGGCGTTGCAAAGTCAGTACCGGCTACAGAATTTAAACATAATCTCTGCAGTGGTTTCAGTGAGATGTCTGTCTTAGTGAGGTTTCTATTGCTGTGAAGAGACACCGTGACCGTGGCAACTCTTATAAAGGAGAACACTTCATTGGGGCTGGCTTACAGTTCAGAGGTTTAGCCCACTGTCATCATGGCGGGGACCATGGCAGCGTGCAGGCAGACATGGTGCTGGAGAAGGAGCTGAGGGTCCTACAACTTAATCCACAGGCAGCAAAGAAAGAGTCTGAGTATAGGAGACCTCAAAGCCCGTCCCCCCAGTGACACACTTCCTCCAACAAGGCCACACCTCCTGATAGTGCCCCTCCCTACAGGCCAAGCGTTCACACACATGAGTCTACGGGGCCATTCCTGTTCAAACCACCACACGTCCCCCATATTCTTGGGAATCTGAACACCTGGTCTCCAGCGGGGAGCTTTGCTTGGGTGGGTTTCAGAGGTGTAACCTTGCTGGAGGAAGTGTGTCACTGGGGGTGGGCTTTGAGGTTTTAAAAGCCATGAACTGTCTCCAGTATGCTCTCGCTGGTTTTTGCTTGGGGCTCAAAATATAAGCTCTTCGTTGCTGCTGTAGCCACCTGCCACCTCTGCTTTGCCATCATGGACGACTAACTTCTAGACCAATAAGCCAAATAATCCCTGAAAAGAAACCAAGATCATCCCTGGATTAAGGTCTTTCCCTATCCACCGGATAGACAAAGTGTATTCACC